TGGGGTAAATGGGGCAGGGAAAGCATGGGCAGTGAGAGCAAGCTGTCCTCCAAAAAGAGAGGCGTGGCTGCAACCCAAAACAAAGTTATTGGCACCAAGCCACAGTGGCATTTTGCTGCCACAAGCTCTACCAGTTCCTGGTTCTGTAAAGAGGTGGTAGGCTGTTAAAAAGTCTCCTTCCCTCCTGCTTTCTGAGCGAGGGGAACAGAAGAAAGTAAGTTACTGCCCATTGCCAAAGGCAAAAAAGCCTGCGCCTCAGAGGACACGGCACTTTTTTTTATTTAGAGGGAGGGAGTGGGTTTGTCCTCCCACTAGCAAGAAACACAAAGGGGGTGGGAGTCACCCTGGAGCAACTTCCCCCCATAAGCCATACATTTCAAAGTTGAAGAAAATGCCATACTGGCCTAAATAGGATAAACAAAGGTCCCAGAACACAAGTTGGAATTGCTGTCTGTTAGAGTAGTCAAACTGGAGTCCTTGAGTCAAACCAATAGTTGTTTTAGGAGAGAACACCGAGTTGTTGCTGCTTTCACGGAGAAAAGGAACTAAGGCTCCAAGCCCCGCTGCCTGGCTTTATTAGGAGTAGATGGGCGGGGCTGGAGTCCCTAATCAGGAAAAGCTTTCAAGAAAGATCCGAGTCAGCTGCGTGGACGCAGGGAAATACCACAGGTGTGGATTTCACAGTACCACGCAGAAGAAGCTAGAGATGAGCACTAGCTCCAAAAAGCCAGAAATTAAAGGAGAAACCTTGCCTTTATTTGTGTTTGTGTTTCTCACTGTATTTGTGATTGTAAAGGCATTTAATATTTGCCTATGTATGCAAATATTGTAATCTCCTAGGAGAGAAGGCCAGAATATAAATTATTATTATTATTATTATTATTATTACTACTACTACTACTACTATTATTAATGGCTCGCTCTTGGGAAATCCTGAGTATTATAGTACAAAATATAACTTTTGCAAACCCTGAGGGTACAATCCTTCAGAAGTTGCTTGTATTAAATGAACCCGTGATTTTGTCTGGTGGGAACGGATTTCCACTTAGAAGAAGTTGCTCAGCTTACCCATCCCAGTTAGAGCTTTCTGCAACTCTGTTGAATCAACTGCACCACTTCGGTCAGTATCCACAGTCATGAAGTGTTGCCTCCAGCCATTCAGCACAGCCCAGAGCTCTTTGAACTCATTGAAGCCCAGCATGCCAGACATATCTCTCTGCACTCTGGCTAAGGAAAAGGTACCATCAGTAGCAAAGCAAATGCAAGATAAATACTCCTGAATTCAATATAATCACTCTGGGAGGACTGCAGTTCTTTGAATGAATGCCACTCCAAGGCTGGCCTTTTCCAGTTAAATAGTTATACTGTGTTAAACTGAAGTACTGTACTCTATTATATGTTTCCACCAAAGTAATTCATTCAATACGGTTCACTGTTATCCACAGTTTTGCTTATTCACACAAAAGTCCTGGAATATATCCCCTGTGCATACAGGGGTTGTATTGTACACAGCAGCACCCTTTTTTTCCACTTTAGTCAGACCTCACTTGAAAATGGTAACAAGCCCGAATGTGTTCAAAGGAAAGTGACCAAAATGGTACAGAGTCTGCAAACCCACAATTTCAAACAAACATGCATTAGGAATCAGAGTCGGATTTTCAAAGGATACATCAAGCATGGAGATCATGAGTCTGCATGTCTCTAGGTTGAAAGCTGTTCAAAGAGAAATAAGAAAAACACATTAATCTCTCATTTCAGACAATTAGTGGTACTCGTAATTAATGAAAGGATATATTATTCATTCAAGTGCTTTCCGTTCGCTCCAGCATCCTCTCCCAACGTGTGTTGAAAAGAGTGATTTTGGAGGCAAAGGGGAAAAAAAAGATAATGAAAGAGTCATTAAGAAAGATACTTTCCTTCTTATGCTTATATTACCACAAATCGGAATTTGTGAAGTGTAACTAATCACCTAAAACGTTCTTCAAAGATTCAACAACATGAAAAAGAGATAGGATAGCAACACAAGAAAGGAAACAGCAATAAAAGCATAAGAGCTGGGAAATGGTTGGATGCTTTGTGCCAAATAAGTAATAATACAGTACAATCTTGGACTTTTTCTTAAAATCCATTTAAGTATGTGTGCACCTTTAAGTATGTGTGTCCATCCAATGATGGACTGGAGGAAGACTTACAAGTTGAAATTAAATCTAGACATGACAGAGGCACTCCTGGTCAGTTGGAAGGTGGATAGTGGTGTGAGATTACAGCCTGTGTTGGATGGGGTCACACTTCCCCTGAAGACACAGGTTCGCAGTTTGCAGTTTGGGGGTGATGCTGGACACATCGCTGCCCCTGGAACCCCAGGTATTGGCGGTGGCCAGGAACACCTACGCACAACTAAAACATGTGTGCCAGCTGCGCCCATACCTTGAGATACCAGAATTGGCCATGGTAGTCACATCCTGTCTAGACTACTGCAATGCTCTCTATGTGGGGCCCACCTTTGAAGATGGTTCTGAAGCTTTAATTGGTGCAGAGATTGGCAGCCAGATTACTAACTAGAACCCATACAGGGAGAGATCCAGTCCCATGCTACGGCAGCTCCACTAGCTGCCGGTCTGCTTCTGGGCTAGATACAAAGTACTGGTTATTACCTTTAAAGCCATAAACAACTCAGGTCCAGGCTATTTGACTAATCACATCTCCACCTACAAACCAACTCGAGCACTGCGGTCGTTGAAGGAGGCCCTGCTCTCGATCCCACCCCCATCTCAAGCATGGTTGGCGGGAAGGAGAGAGAGGGCCTTCTCCGTGATCGCTCTCTTCCTCTGGAACTCACTCCCTAAAGAAATAAAGCTGGCTCCTTCCTTTTTATCCTTCAAAAAACAGAGGATGAGGATTAGATGAAGAGAAACTACTACAAGACTGCTGATGGGATAGTATAAATACACTCAGGCCTTGTTAAATCACATTAGCCCATTTAACACCTTTGGCCATACAAATAATATAAAGTTTTTTTAATTATTATTATTTATATTACATTCTTTTATCTCTATTGAGTTATATCAATTCATTTCAATAGGCAGTAAAATGATATATGCTTGATTCCCCACATTTGCAGTTCTGACTTTTGCAGATTTGATTAAAATGTTTCTCTTTATGAATTTCTTGTTCCTCTGGTGTGGCTCTTTCAGCAGAAGCTGACCACAGAATCTTGCTGGAGTGTCTAGAGATTCCTAAAGAACTAGATTAGAAGCAGATGATCAAGACGGTTTTAAACAGTGTATTTTAATATTGAGACAAATGTTTTAATGTTTACGTATGAATATAATGGATTCTTGTCCCGGCATTGAATGTTTGCCATATATATGCTGTGTTCCACCCTGAGTCCCCTTCGGAGTGAGAAAGGTGGAATATAAATGTTTTAAATAATAATAATAAATAAGTGTTCTGTCAAGTTAAGAAATGTGTTCTAATTTGCATTTCTCAATTTTCTTGGTCCTCCAAATGCAGTCAATGGGGAAATATGGCTACATTATGAAGAAGGCATATATTATTCACATTCTTAATCAACTATCATGTCATACTTCAACAATCTTAAGCAAAAAACCCCTGTAAACCACTCCATCTAGACAAAGAGCTCAAATGCAGACCTTGGAAAAGTTACCCTTTTAAGAAAAATAACCAGACTCCTATAAATCATCACTATTGTTAAGTGCACAGGCAATATTTTGTACTTTCCTCTCTTAAACACAACTAATGCTGCACAGAATGAAAAGAAATAATAAATACTACACAATAATAACAGTATGGCCAATTACAATTCCCCCAGCTTTGCACCTCTGCATATATTCGACTTCCTAATTGAAGATCACACTTCATGCATCTTATGAATTTGGGATTCTAATCCAAGAAAAGTTACTGACAAAATAAAACTGCTAAGTCGTGAAGATGCCACATGACACTTACTAGCTGGAATCCTATTGCTTAGTCCCAGCTAGAACAGACCCATTAAATCAACTGATTAATAATAAGGCAACATGTAAATCCAAGATTTAATGAATCTACTAAATAAGATTTAGGGCTCCACATTTAACTTACGTTTGTAGGCACCAGCAATTCCTGATTGAGTCAGACACCTTTGAAGTTCATCAGCATCTATTTGCCCATCCTTTGAAAAACAGAAAAAAACAAAACATAAATCCAATTTGTTATGCTTTCAATATTCTCATATTCTCGGGCAGTAAGCTCCATGAGGCGACTACTTCCAACAGCAGAGTATCAAGAGCAGCAGACATGTGGCTTCCTCCGCCTTGGCAAGGCTCTCTCTTTTTCCTCCGTCATGTCCTCCACAGAATCATGGAGTTGGAAGAGACCCCTAGGGCCATCCAGTCCAATCCCTTGCCATGTTGGAACACAGAATCAAAGCCCTCCCAACAGATGGCCAACCAGGAGAGCCTGCCATCAGCCCAGTTTCCTTTTTTGCTGGGAGATGGAGCAAAGATTAGGAGATGAAGCCAGAACATCGACAACAGAGCCAGTGAGACACAAAGTCAATACGATGGCCTGGCAATGCAAGAATGAGCTTGTGCACTATTGCTGTATGGTCCAGCTACAGTTTCTGGCAAACCAGGAACAGAAATTAATAATTGCCACCTGTGAATGGAGAACAGAGTGTTCTTAGTGTTGTATCATGCCAACTCTTATCTCATTTTGATTCTTTGGTCATTTTCTGCAGAATACTGTAATGGCAACAGATGGATCAGTGCCTTTCTGATCTGCAAGACTGCAGGCCAGCAAAAGGCTCTGCTATTTCTATCCACGTAGGACACCAAAATAAAGGCTAAAGAATGCTACAGTGTACAACTGAGTGATACAATTCAATGACAATCTTAATAGTGAGCTCGTAATGCTGGGGGAATACACTTTTTTAAATCAAGAGGATGTCATGGAGCCTAAATAATCTAAAGACACCAGATCCTGTCTGATCTTGGAAGGTAAGCAAATTCAGGTACTGAAGCTATATGCTGTAGTGGTTAGCTTGGGACTAAAAATACTTGGATTTAAATTCCAAACCAGTCATGAAATCATACCTGCCCAGCGACTGCAGCAAAATAGCCATATAAAGGATCCTGAGCTTGTCCAGGAAAAGCTGGCCCTCCTGGTGCACTTCCATACTAGAAATAAAATGAGATTCAATTAAAACATCTATAGCCTTTGTTGATTTATGATGGATCCTTAGTGGGAACTATGATGTGTCTAATTCCAAATCATACTGGAGCCTACAATGCTAATTTTTTTTAATCCAGCAGGGGCTGTTCTGTAATAAGCAGCTGTTTTGATGATACAACAATCAATCTGATTGACTGATGGTTTAGATCTGATGGAAATACCAGAGGACATTTTAAATTGAGATGCAAATCTATTGAAATTATGGCTTCCAATAACGATGTCCATTGAGATTTCCTAGATGATAATGCATGTTAGTTGTTCACTTCCAACCACACCATGGGATTATTTATCTAAAGAGTGTATTTTGTTGGGGCAGGAGTGGGGAGCATGACACAGCTTTGGATCTAGCAGAATAATCTTCAAGATACTGTAGCCCAAGACCACCTGAGGGGCTTTTGGATCTGGTCAAATGCTGCTCCACCAAATCTCCTCTGGGTTTTAGCCTGAGTTTTTAAGTAGAGTATTGAATCACAGAATCCTAGAATCATAAAGTTGGAAGAGATCTTGTGGGCCATCCAATTCAACCCCCTGCCACAAAGCAGGAAAATCGCATTCAAAGCACCCCCCGACAGATGGCCACCCAGCCTCTGTTTAAAAGCCTCCAAAGAAGAAACCCCCACCACACTCCTCTTACATCAATCCTCTTACAGATTAGAATTTAGTATATTGTGCAGCAGCTTTAAAGTTCGGACATAAATCTAGACCAGATTCAATGCACCACTCATGAAAGCCAACAGCTGCAATTGCTCCAAATATATCCTCCTTGGTGTATTAATGAAGAGCTCTGTAGGCACAGATGTACCAGTAGCAAGCTCTTTGTTTGTAGAAGAGCCATGGAAGGGACATTGAAAGGATCCATAGGGAGGGAGAAAGGCATCCTTGTTTTCCCAATACTTTCATGGTTGCATCTACACTGTAGAATTAATGCAATTTGACACCTTTTTAACCACTATGGCTCAATGCTATGGAAATATAGTTGTAGTTTTACAAAGTTTTAACCTTCTCTGTCAAAGAGTGCTAGTGCCTCACCCAACCACAATGCCCATTGAGCCATGACAATTAAAGTGGTGTCAAACTGCATTAATACTACAGTATAGATACACCCTATGAATCAGGGCCAGCTTGAGATGGAACAGTCATTTTCACCCACTGGTATCATTTGGAAGGGAAAAGAAAAAACAAAACAAAACAGAGAATGAAGAAAATGGTAAAAGTTGAGTTTTCCTCAAGGTAAGCGACCAAGAACAGAAAGTGGATGAAGTTTGCTCCTATCAAATTTGAGCAGGCAGACCTCCACATTTTCTGGGGGAAATGTGGAAAAAACATGAGAATACCTCTCTAGGAGGAATCAGTGCGACTCTGTGGAAGTTGACCCTAACACTGAGCTGTGGCCCTTCAGCTGTTTGGGCCTCCAACTCCAAGAATTCCTGACCACTGAACAAGCTGGCTAAGGCTTCTGGATGGCTGCAGATTGAGGACGCCTTACCTAGAGTTTTCTAGAGAGATCCTATTAATCTACTTCACAGATAAGCAAAACCACAAAAGCAAAACCTGCAAATGGTGAGGGCCAACCTCATCCCCTGATTTCCAAAGGGATGAAAGTTCAACATACTTCATCTGGATCCAACCCAAAGTCTTTCTTACAACTGTTTTTGTCTGTGGAGAAAATAACAGGAAACAGTGTGGTGGAAACCATTTCCCTCTTATTTCAAATCTCCCTTCCTGTTTTAGCATCCCCTAATTTTCCTGCATGATCTGAATTCCATCCCATACAGAAGTTAGCTAACAAATATACACCTTCATGTGAGTGACAGAAGTTTCAGAACTTTCCATAAATAAATGATGGTAGTCATGGGGGTGGAGTTGTTTACCCTTAATACAATAAATGGATATCCCTGTTGACAGAGAAATAGTGTGTGTGCAAATAGTTAATATTTACTCACAGTCTTTAATCACCTACCCTGGAGGACTTGCTCATTTCTCAGTTAATAAATTACCATATTATATAGCTCAGGTTATTGAGTGGGATGATAATAAGAATATAAACAATAGGGGTGAATGAGAATAGTGGATCATATTGATATCCAGGTTCGATCCCCTGGTGGCAACACTTACTGGTATATCTCAGTATTTGATCCTTTTGATACTTTTCTGCCTCTAACAAGAAATATAACATGTAACAAATGGTAAATCTACACTAGAATGAATGCAGTTTGACACCACTTTAGCTACCATGGCTCAATGCTAAGGAATCCTGGAATTTGTATTTTGGAGACTCACTAGCACTCTTTGGTAGAGAGAGCTAGAAAGCTGGTAAAACTACAACTCCCAAGATTCCATAGCATTGAGCCATGGCAGATAAAGTGGTGCCAAACTGCATTAATTTGACAGTGTAGATGCACCCAGAGACTGGAACACAAAGTTGATGGCGAAATTAGAGGCGTATTATTTTGCACTATTCAAAGCAAAATGTGATCAAAATTATCGTATCATCTCAGTGGATTCGTCAACACTATGCTTTGTATAGAGTCTATCCATCAAGCCAAGCAGGAAACAACTATTTCCACCACGCACAACTTTCAGTTTTAGCATGTGCTTTTCTTTTAAATTAAAAAAAACACACATTATCACATCTTCCATTCCTAGATCTATACCCACAACCCTCCCATTACTCACACAGCATTATACAAACACAGCACTGTCAATTCTATTACTTCTACATTATTCTAATTTTATCTGTTACACATAATTATCCCAATGTGTTGACTATTTTGTTGAAGGCTTTCATGGCCGGAATCACTGGGTTGTTGTAGGTTTTTTCGGGCTATATGGCCATGTTCTAGAGGCATTCTCTCCTGGCGTTTTGCCTGCATCTATGGCAAGCATCCTCACCTCACTACCTCTGAGGATGCTTGCCCTAGATGCAGGCGAAACGTCAGGAGATAATGCCTCTAGAACATGGTCATATAGCCCAAAAAAACCTACAACAACCCTGCTGATTATTTGTTCAGCCATGATCTTTCTTGGACTTCTGGAGGTTTAAATTTGCCATTGCTTTTAAACATGAAGCTAAGACATGGATTCCATCTTCAAGTAGATCTTCCTTCAATTCTCCTTTTGCAAATCTTAATTCATAAATTAACTTTTCCAATAGGGCTATCACTCATACCCCAATTAACCAATTCTATATTGGTTAATCTTTTTACAGGTCTTCACTATTCTGAGTCTTGTGGCACATAACATGAGCAGTGTAAGATTTTTATTTACCAAATCCTTATTCTTACTTTCGAACACAGAAATCATTAATAGAGCTTCCTTGAAATATGTTATTTCCTCCACTATTTGATTTATCCATGATAGAACTTCCTCATGTGCTTTCAACATGAACAATATGACAATACATGGAGGCATTTCAAACATTTATATACAGTTTCACATTCCCAGGGGTTGTCTGAACTGGGCCTTGGAATGCCCTATGGACCAAAGGATGATGAAACAAGCGGAAAAATCCTGCCCTTTACTACACTGGAAATTTGCCTTGCTCTAAGTCAGGGGTTCTCAAACTAAGGTCACCCTAAGTCTGAAACAACTTCAAGTCATGCATCATCATCAACAACAATCTGAATTGACTATCTAATCTGCCATAAACAGGCCCACCATTCCCATTGAAATACTGGTAAGTTTATGATGGTTAAAATTGTTCATTATTTTGAATTCTATATTGTTCTTTCATGTTTTTTGCAGTACAAATAATATATCTGCAGTGTGCATAGGGATTTCTCCATGTTTTTTCAAAATATAGTCCGGCCCCCCAACAGTCTGAGGGACAGTGAACCGGTCCTGTGCTTTAAGTTTGAGGATCCCTTCTTTAAGTATTTTGGATCACTATATGACACATAAGTGTTTTGAAATATCCTGAAGGAGGAAGAACCATTAAGATATTGCAAACCTGTTGACATTTCTGCCAAGCTTTTCCTGCCTGGAGCAACCTTTTATTCGGCAACGTGGCTATTGTTTCCCTCTATGACACAACAGGACTACACCTAACTTCTATATAACTGGGGATGACCTACCAGATAATTTTTGCACTCTAGCTCCTATCAGTTCTAACTGGAGGAGCGAATGAGCATGCACGATGGGAGTTGCTGTTCAGGAAAAACACACAGCCTTCTCAAATAATGAGCAAGGGACCCCTTCAAGCTATAGAACAGTGGTTCTCAACCTGTGGGTCCCCAGATGTTTTGGCCTTCAACTCCCAGAAATCCTAACAGCTGGTAAAGTGGCTGGGATTTCTGGGAGTTATAAGCCAAAACACCTGGGGACCCACAAGTTGACAACCACTGCTGTAGAATAACAGAATCCATTCTCCTTCCTTTAGGGGTGTATCTTACATTGAAAAACAATACGAAGATGAAGTACAACGGAGCCCATCACACAACGCAGGAAGACTTCCGCCTATTGTCCAGGATGCCTTGCTATAAGCATATTTCTATACCAAAGAATTTGACATCCTTTTAAATGTAATAGCTCAATGCTTTGAAATTGTGGGAGCTGTAGCTTTGGTGAGGCACCAACACTCCCTGTAAAACTACAAATCCCATGAATCCACACCACTGAGACAGGGCAGTTAAAAGTAGGGTCAGGCTGTGCTCATTATTACAGTGTAGATGAACTCCTTAGGAAACTTCAGATCCCAGCACTGAGACTTTGGGAAACTACAGATCCAAGGATACTCTAGGACCTGATCCCAGATTATCTTTTAACAGCACTGAGATTTTGGGAAACTACAGGTCCCAAGATTCCATAGGACCTGATCCCAGAATATCCTTTAATAGCACTGAGACCTTGGGAAACTACAGATCTTAGGATTCCATAGCACTGAGACCTTGGGGAACTACAGATCCCAGGTTTCCCTAGTACCTAATCCCAGATTATTTTTTAATAGCACTGAGACCTCGGGAAACTACAGATCCCAGGATTCCCTAGGACCTGATCCCAGAATATCCTTTAATAGCACTGAGACCTTGGGAAACTACAGATCTTAGGATTCCATAGCACTGAGACCTTGGGGAACCTGCGGATCCCAGGACTCCATGATACCCGATCCTTTTAATAGCACTGAGACCTTGGGAAACTACAGATCCCAGAATTCCATAGTACGTGATCCCAGATTATTTTTAATAGCACTGAGGCCTTGGGAAACCGCAGATCCCAGGATTCCATAATACTTGATGCCAGATTATATTTTATTAGCACTGAGACCTTGGGAAACTACAGATCCCTGGATTCCGTGCCACTAAGGCTGGATCTACACTACCATATAGTCCAGTACCTGATCCTAGATCATCTGTTTCGAACTGTACTATATCAGTCTATACTGCCCTATAATCCAGTCCAAAGCAGATAATCTGGATTCAGAAACCGGACTATATGGCAATGTAGACGGGGGCCTGAGCCACAGCAGCTCAAGTGGTGTCACACTGCATTAATTCTACAGCCTAGATCCTCCTATGTATGGTCTTTGGCAGCCTCCCTTGGGAAAGCCGAGCTCCCAGGGCGGTGAGAGCGGTGTGCTCTAGCGGAGATGCATTCCCGGGTTCTAAGCCACCCGGGTTCGCCCATTCGGACGTGCAGGAGGGCAGCGGGCACCCAGGGGAGGCGCCACCTCCCCCCTCCCTCCGGATCTCCTCCTCCTCCTCCTCCTCCTCCCAGGGCCACCCCGGGCTTGAGCCTTGTCTCACCCCGCCCTGATAGTAGCCTCCTCCGGCGCCGGGATGCCCAGAGTACGCCATGATCCGGATGCTGCCTCTCGTTGCTCTCCCTCCGACGCTGCAGCAAGCCGGGCCTAACCACACCCCGGAGGAAGGCTGGGCCCTACCATGTGCCCAACATAGGGGGGAGCAGGGAAAACACATAACGTGAATGGGGGGGGATATGCTCAGCAAAGACCTCCGCTTTGGAATTGGCTGAAATTTTAAGTCGGATATTCATATTTTTCTTTCTTTGTTTACATCCCATGGATATGGGAGAAATAGAACTATTCGACTCTCCCCCCTCTTTGCTGACCATAATGGTACAGTCCCCAGAGCCAAGAGGGAAAATGGAAAGTTTCACTGTGATAGAAAGGGAAGAGTAGATTCGTCAATTGGAGAGAAAGGAAGGGATTGGAGGTCTGGGGAGTTTCTCTCAAGGTGATCAGGAAAGAGATGTTTATTTATTTATTTATTTATTTCTTGCACTTATAGACCGCCACTCTCAGCCCTAGGGCGACTCGTGGCGGTGTACAACAACATAGAAAAGACAGGTTACAATAAATCAACAATACACAACGTTCTACTACTACAACACTACTATACTAAAAATCCGCTTCGTCAAATCATAGGGTCAATCCATCTCATAATCACAGTCCATTCCGGTCGTCAATTCCAGTAACCTAGCACTCAATTGAAGGCCATCTCGAAGAGCCATGTTTTCAGGCCCTTACGAAAGGCCATAAGGGAAGGCGCCTGTCTAACTTCAGCAGGGAGGGAGTTCCAAAGCCGGGGGGCCACCACCGAGAAGGCCCGCTCTCTCGTCCCCGCCAGACGTGCCTGTGAGGCAGGCGGGACCGAGAGAAGGGCCTCCCCAGATGATCTCAAGGTCCTCGTGGGCTCGTAGGCCGAGATGCGGTCAGAAAGGTATTTTGGGCCGGAACCGTTTAGGGCTTTGTATAACACCAGCACCTTAAATTGGGCCCGGTAGCAGATCGGCAGCCAGTGGAGCTGGGACAGCAGGGCGTTGTATGCTCTCTGCGTCCCGCTCCTGTTAGTAACATGGCTGCCGCGCGCTGGATTAGCTGAAGCTTCCGGGCCGTCTTCAAGGGCAGCCCCACGTAGAGAGCGTTGCAGTAGTCAAGGCGGGATGTGACCAGAGCGTGTACCACCGTGGCCAAGTCAGACTTCCCAAGGTACGGGCGCAGCTGGCGCACGAGCCTGAGCTGTGCAAATGCTCCCCTGGTCACCGCTGAAACCTGGGGATCCATGCTCAAAGATGAATCCAGGGTCACACCCAAGCTGCGAACCTGCGCCTTCAAGGGGAGTGCGACCCCGTCCAGCACAGGCGGTAACCCTATACCCTGTTCGGCCTTGCGACTGACCAGGAGTACCTCTGTTGCTGTTGCTGCCAAGCTGAAAGGAAGTGAAAGGATAAATAGGTCTTTCAAAGTAAATTGGTTTGCAGTTATCTGCACCAGAGGATGAATGCAGTTTGGCACCACTTTACCTACCATTATCTTTTGTTAGCACTGAGACCTTGGGAAACTACAGATCCCAGGATTCCATTAGTACCTGATCCCAGATTATCTTTTAATAGCACTGAGACCTTGGGAAACTACAGATCCCAGGATTCCATAGAACCTGATCCCAGATTATTTATAGCACTGAGACCTTGGGAAACTACAGGTCCCAAGATTCCATAGTACCTGATCCCAGATTATATTTTAATAGCACTGAGACTTGGGAAACTACAGATCCCAGAATTCCATTAGTACCTGATACCAGATTATCTTTTAATAGCACTGAGACCTTGGGAAACTACAGATCCCAGGATTCCATAGTACATGATCCCAGATTATCTTTAATAGCACTGAGTCCTTGGGAAACTATAGATCCCAGGATTCCATAGTACCTGATCCCAGATTATCTTTTAATAGCACTGAGACCTTGGGAAACTACATGTCCCAAGATTCCATAGTACCTGATTCCAGATTATCTTTTAATAGCACTGAGACCTTATGAGACTACAGATCCCTGGATTCCATAGTACCTGATCCCAGATTATCTTTTAATAGCACTGAGACCTTGGGAAACTACAGATCCCTGGATTCCATAGTACCTGATCCCAGATTATCTTTTAATAGCACTGAGACCTTGGGAAATATTGTTATTATGCACTGTCTTATGTCTAATTGCACTATAATTGTTCTTTTTGTTTATCAATGTATGTATTTTTATGGCATTGAATTGTGCCAATTGTGTACACCGCTCTGAGTTGCCTTCGGGCTGATATGAGAGGGATAGAAATAATGCAAATAAATAATAAATAAATAAATAAACAAACTACAGATCCCAAGATACCATAGTACCTGATCCCAGATTATTTTATAACAGCACTGAGACCTCAGCGAACTACAGATCCCAGGACTCCATAGCACTGAAGCTGGATCTGCACTACCATATAATCCAGTACCTGATCCCAGCTTATCTGCTTTGAACTGGACTATTTCAGTCTACGGTGCTATAGGTAGAGCAATGGTATAGAACAAGCATGGGAAAACTAGGGCTCTACTGGTGTTTTGGACTCCAAGTCCAGCAATTCCTGGCCTCACGCCGTCCCCCCCCCCCCCCCCCCCCCCCCCCCCGTGGCTGAGGGGGAAAAGGAAAGGGTGTGAGGCCAGGAATTGTGGGAGTTGAAGTCCAAAACACCTGGAGAGTCCAAGTTTGACCATGCCTGCTATAGAATCGGGGCAGTTGTAGTTTTCCAAGGTCTTTCGCCTTCTCTGACAGTGTGCTGGAGCCTCATCAAACTACAAACTACAGCATTCTATAGCACTGAGCTGTGGCAGTTAAGATGGTATCAAACTGCATTAATTCAGCAGTGTAGATGCACCCAAAGGCTTGGAAAAGCAGCTATGAAGGATCTGAAATGTAAATATAATAGAGAACAGGTTTTCAAGTCCTCGCTTTGCCATGAAAACCCACTGGGTGACCTTGGGCAAGTCACACCCTCTCAGCCCCAGAAAATCACAGGTTGGCCTTAGGGCCATTATAAGTTAGAAAGCAAGGCACACGGCAACATTGTGCATAAAATACATTTAGATCATCATAATATTTCTGTAACACTGCCCACCAAGAAACCTGCTTTTGTTGGATGGACTTAGTAATATTGCAGAGTGGCATAATGATTAATGATTTCCAAGGGACTTTGATGTGCTATAAGGCAGCAATAAAACCATAAACAGTCCCAATCCCTTTATCCTGCAGAACTTGGGATATATGACTCACTTCCTTCAAAGTAGACCAACAGGTTTAATCTAAGCCATTGGGTCTCAACCTTCCCAATGGTGTGACCCCTTCATACGGTTCCTCATGTTGTGCTGACCCTGAGCCATAAAATTATTTTTGTTGCTACTTCATAACTGTAACTTTGCTACTGTACTGAATTGTAATGTAAACATCTGATATGCAGGATGTATTTTCATTCACCAGAACAAATTTGGCACAAATACCCAATACGCCCATATTTGAATACTGGTGGGGTGGGGTGTGAATTTATCATTTGGGAGCTGTAGTTGCTGGGATGTATAGTTCACCTACAATCAAAAAGCATTCTGAACTCCACCAATGATGGAATTGAACCAAGCTGGGCACACAGAACTCCCATGACCAACAGAAAATACTGGAAGGGTTTGGTGGGCATTGACCTTGAGTTCTGGAGTTGTAGTTACCTACCTCCAGAAAGTACTGTGGAGTCAAACAATGAAAGATCTGGACCAAACTTGGCACAAATACTCAATATACACAAATGTGAACACTGGTGAAGTTTAGGGAAAATAGACTTTGACATTTGGGAGTTGTAGTTGCTGGGATTTATAGTTCACCTACAATCAAAGAGCATATTGAACCCCACCAATGATAGAATTGGGGCAAACTTGGCACACAGTACTCCCATGACCAATAGAAAATACTGTGTTTTCTTGTGGTCTTTAGTGACCCCTCTGACACCCCCTTGCGACCCTCCCCCAGGGGTCCTGACCCCCAGGTTAATAAATCCTGATCTAAGAAAAGTAATATTTTGTGAAAGTGCTAAATTGCTTCTTATCAGCAACCAAGGATATTATGCTTGTTTGCCTTGAAGTCATTTTATAGTATTCAGTGGAGCTTACTACTAGGCTAGTATTATGTAACTAAGAATTAAAACTGTATTTTTAATAGTATAGTGTGCTATTGTTACAAGTAAATGTTTCATTGCACTTGTCCAGATAGTTACAGTTTTTGTGGAAGCTGACAGTGCTACATTATTCTGTACCAATGCACACATGAATTAGCTTTCCCCAAACTGGTGTCTCCTTTAGATATTTTGGACTACAGCTCCTATCATCCTGACCAGAAATTTTGCTGGCATTGCTGATGGGAACCAATGTTCAAAATATGGTTCAGGAAATATTAAATTAAGCCAAAATGGCTAAACTGAGGCTGTTGTTTATTTTTGTATGCCTTCAAGTAATTTAGAGCTTACATTGATCCTATGGAATCATGGCAGTTGTAGTTTTACAAGGTCTTCAGACTTTTCTGCCAAAGTGTGCTTGTGACACACTAAACTACAGCTCCCAGGATGTTGTAGCGTGGAGTCATGGCAGTAAAAGTGGTGTCAAACTGCATTCATTCTAGAATATAGATCAGGACTGGGCAAACTTGGGCCCTCCAGGTGTTTTGGACTCCAACTCCCACAATTCCTGGCCTCAGGCCCCTTCCTTTTCCCCCTCAGGCGCTTAAGCGGCTGAGGGGGAAAAGGAAGGGGCCTGAGGCGAGGAATTGTGGGAGTTGGAGTCCAAAACACCTGGAGGGCCCAAGTTTGCCCATGCCTGCTATAGAAGCACCCTATGTCTGCAAGAACCCGAACATGTGACTTAAATATTTCTCATTCACGGAGTTGCCAGGAACTGAAGTTATCAACAGCAATATCATTACCTATTTTAAAATCCAGCTTGACTTCCCTTTAACCTGGTTTTTATCATTTCTTTCTTACTCTGAGTCACTGGGGACATAAGGTGCATTCAGGTCAAAGATCAGGAAGTCCTGGATTTTGTTCCTGTTTTTTCTGACCCATTTATGCTTTGTTCATCCCAGGATATTTTCTGTCAGCTCCTGGTATGGGCAGAAACGTTTTATACCAGCTCCCCAAGTGGGTTTATTTCAGCCCAGTATAAAAGAGAACAGAGCAAAATCTGGGAGTTACCCATCAGTCTGGCTGCATCTTGACACAAACAGAAATGGATTAGTAGATGAAGAAAAGAGTATAAAGCAAGCCAGGGGCAAGAAAATGGCTTGGAAATGTGTGAATTTTGTTTCTTACTCAAGGTCAACAAGTCACCTTGTATAACATCAGGAAGAATGGTTATTATATGTCCTGAATGTTGACACATTTGAGCTCTCCGGGTTACTTTATAAGCTGAATATCCTTTTCACCCCCATTTGAGGCTTAGGGTGCACCCACACTGTAGGATTAATGCCATGGCTCAATGCAATGGAATCATGGAATCTGTGGTTTTACAAGGTCTTTAGCCTTCTCTGATAAAGAATGACCAAACTGCATTAATTCTACAGCTTAGATGCATCCTGTCTAACATATCACTGGGGAGAAGTCTACCTGTATGTTTCAGATCTGTATTACTTAGTAATAATACATTTCTCTTTTTTCAGTTTGAAAGAGTCGCTTTTAAGAAACAGCATAACTTCCACATGCCATGTCTCTAATGTAGCTTAACTGTGTCTCTGTAAGTTTTGTCTGGTTGTGCACCATCGCTCTCATCCTCAACCAATGGTCAGGGAAGATGGGATTTGCATGATTTTTGTACAACTTTTAGTATTAGCCTCTTTGAATCTCCCTTTGAAGAGAGGAAACAGGATATAAATGCTACTACTGCTACTATTATTTCTTCCTTCCTTAGGTGATCCCTTGTAGCCAGAGGATGATGGTCCTCTAAGTGTAGTAACTTGGCGGTGGATGGCTGTGGAGCCATATACTTGATCCACATGTTTTCCCACAGTGAGGACATCGGTTTCCAGGTAGAAGGTGGTCCTGGTCAGGGTTGGCTTGATGCACCTTCCTACTGGCACATTTCTCCCTTTCGCCCTCCATTCAAATTCCGTAGCACTGCTAGTCATAGCTGACCTCCAGCTAGAGTCCTCAAGGGCCAGGGCGGCTTCCTAGTTCTCGGTGTCTATGCTACAGTTTTAAAGGTTGGCTTTAAGCCCATCTTTAAATCTCTTTTCCTATCTACCAACATTACATTCCGTTCTTTAGTTGGGAGTATAGTAACTGCTTTGGAAAATGGTGATTGGATATTTGATTAACGTGGCCAGTCCAGTGGAGTTGATGGCATAGGAACATCGCTTCAGTGTTGGTGGTCTTTGCTTCTTGCGGCACACTGACATTTGTCCGCCTGTTTTCCCAAGTGATTTGCAGGATTTTTTGAATGCAATGCTGATGGAATCATTCCAGGAGTTGCATGTGACGTCTGTAGACAGTCCACGTTTTGCAGGTGTATAGCAGGGTTGGGAGGACAATAGCTTTATAAACAAGCACCTTGGTTTCTCTATGGAAGTCCTGATCCTCAAACTACTGCTTTCCAGATATCTAATATGTGACTGACTATACTTGTTTAGTCAGGGCTGGATTTTTTAATTAGCTTTGTGCCACTGAGGATGCACCTACGCTTTAACTGCAATGACTCAAAGCTATGGAATAATAGGAGAAGGCTTGCAAAACTACAACTCCTATAATTCTATGTAGTCCTGCATGTAATGAAGTAATCAGTTCAGCTGGCTTTAGTCCATGGGGGTGTTTTGAGATAGTCATTGTGCCTAGAATTTCATTCCTATTTTAAGGTTTATTTTCTTGTTTTATATAATGTATGACTCATTTTGAAGTTACGACATACAAGGCTTTGTGTAAAAACGATGCTCAAGAAAAATGTAGAAACTTACTGTGCTGTTCTTGGGTGGAAACTGCATGCTGATGACTCTTGCTAGGTCAAGCAATCCTAGATCTAATTTCTTTTGTCCAAGCCTGTGTTTTAAGTGGAAGAAGGAAAACTGTAAAAGTCAAAAGTCAAACTTATAAAACGGGTCACTCTGATTTGTATGTAATCAAGTATGTATTTAATATTTCAAAATGAGGAACTCACCTCTCGGGTGTGCTGGGGACTGAATGATACTGAGATGTGTGTACAAGTGGAATGCAGAAAGAAAGAAAGAATGGATGAATGAAAGAAAAAGAAAGAAAGGGTAACCTTGGTGAACTAAGCCAAGCAGTATCACAGTTGTTTGAAAGGTAAACACTTTCATCAAATAAGATTAGAAAGTTGCTATTGTTAGAAAGTATGAGTCATTTTTTCTATCTTCAAATGTTTCTTAGGAACTAGAATGCATAACCGGGTGTTCCCGAATCAGTAATAAAGGCTAATATGATTTCTCTCACTCCTGTACAATATTCTTAAATAATTACATTATCTAGTTCTGATGAAAGTTAATTGTCCAAATGGCTTTGTACAGCAAATAGATACATTTTCTGCCAAGTTTGACAACATTATTGTTTTGAACTGCATCTTGGAGAGTCGCCTAATTAAAAAGGCTGTTGGTGAAGATTCTAGGAGTTGTAGTTCAAAAAGGTACTGCTATACGTCTTTCAAATTGTCTCCAGAGTTGCCCTGCTCTTAGTTGACTGCATTCTTGGACACTGCAGATCTGTATTCATATTGGAGCAAGGACTTCATCCCATGAGGGGGGTAACATCACATTACGCGACATGTCCCATTGCACTAGAATGCAAACTGTATTGTTTCTCAATTTTTGTCACACTTTTTTTTCTGGCCCTATGTTTCAAAACTATCTGTTTTCAGATTTATCACACAAGCAAGTGCAGTTCCCACCCACTCCCTTTTTAAAAATAATTTTAAAAACCCTTTGTGAACTTTAAAATCATGAAAGAAAAGGCAATTAAACCACAGTTTTGAAAGGTCAGATTTAATCAAAAGCAAAGCAGGGATCTCCTGAAGTAGTGAAATTTCTTTTTTTCTGTGTCAGGAGCGACTTGAGAATCTGCAAGCTGCTTCTGGCATGAGAGAATTGGCCGTCTGCAAGGATATTGCCAGGGGATGTCTGAATGTTTTACCATCCTGTGGGAGGATTCTCTCATGTCCCCACACGAGAAGCTGGAGCTGACAGATGGGAGCTCACTCTGCTCCTCAGATTTGAATCGCTGACCTTTCAGTCAGTGGTTCTGCTGACACAAGGAGCCCACTGGGGCCTCCAGTGAAAATTCTAATTAAGTCATAAAATAAAAATACACTGCAAGGCAAAGATAAGGCAGCTGGATTTTGGGAGATTTCAAGGGCATTGCTGCTTTGTAGGACACCACCCATTCATTACTAAATCGATTCAATGTGAGTGAATCTGACAGATCCTATTCCACATATTTTTTTGCTGTTTTCTCCAGTTTATAGTGATCCCTGAGCTCAGGAGACTCTTTCTGTTATCTTCCCTCTCCCAAGTTTCTAAACACTTTCTAAATACTTCACTAACAGAGCATGACAGACACACATCTCCCTGTGTTGGCCTCTGTTTAACTTGATTTTTCAACTGCTTTCAAAGTGTTTAGAAGTGTTGTGTGTGTGTGTGGAATAGCATTCTGTGTCCCATTGATATAAATAAGACTTCTGAGTAGACATTATAAGGCTGAGCAATTAGTATGCTGCTAAAGGTTGTGTATGGGTAATCTTAGATTCTTCTAAGAAAGAAGGATTTCCCCTATTTTTATAATAACACTTTATTTATTATATTATTGTTGTTGTTGTTACCTTTGCTATCCCTACAGTTAGAAAAAAACAGTCAAATGTGTTTGATATGAAGGATAAATTCTAGATGTGCACAATTAGTATGAGTCGCATAACTCCAACAAGGCTAGACTTGTAGAATTATTTGGAATTACTGTATCTGGTTTATGACCTGCAGGAAGTACATCATAAACCTGATGGAAGACTGACAAGAGGGCAAGATGACATCTAGGTTTTATGGGTTCCTTACCCCATAAAGGTCCCTAAACGGTTCCGGTCCAGTTTACCTGTCTGAATGTATCTCCCTCTATGAACCATCATGGAGGTTAAGATCTTTGGGAAGGCCCTTCTCTCGGTCCTACCTCCATCGCAAGTGCGGTTGGTGGGGACGAGAGACAGGGCCTTCTCAGTAGTGCCTCCTTGGCTCTGGAATTCTCTCCCCAGTGAGATTAGATCAGCACCCTCCCTTCTGGCCTTTAGAAAGAAAACAAAGATGTGGTTGTGGGATCAAGCCTTTGGACAGTAAAACAGTGCAGTGCAAAGAATAATTAGGAAATATGTGCAATGACAATTGGAATGACCACGATGTACGATTTTTGGTTTATGTGAATTTAATATTCATACTAGGATGTTTTAATGCCCTTTAATGCTTAAATGTTGTTTATGTCTCATGTTTAATTGTTTTAATTATTTTCATGTATAGTTATATGTTAGTGTTTAGTTATTATGATTTTTTTCTGTCTACATGTATTTTGGCATTGAATTTTTGCCATTAGTATGTTGTAAACCACCTTGAGCCCCCTCCCCACCCAAGGTGAGAAAGGCGGTATATAGTAAACAAACAAACAAATAAATAAAACATGCATTCACTTTCCTGTATGAATCATTTTCTGGGTGATATATTGCCATCATCATCTTCATCCCACTTTCCTCTCTTGAATGAGACTCAAAGCAGCTTTACTTTCTTAAATTGGACTCAAAGATATAAGTAGGGCTTGTGAAAGTTACTTTGTGGATTACAGTTCCTGAATCCCCTGGCCACCAAGGTGAGTCACCAGTAGCGAGTCTTATGCTGCAGAAATATGGGAAGACCCAAAAAGTAACTTTCCCAACAACTACAGAAGTGGACTATCATGAAAACTTTGGCCACAAAAAGAGAGACTGATTCTTAAAACAGGTTTCTTTTATTGTGATAATCCTTGTTATAAAAAACCAAAAATCTGAGTATGAAAAATATTTGTACATGGAAACATTAGACATGAAAATAAAGATGGTAGCGATACAGTATTGTACAGCAATGAATAGTTGTAGTATTGGATCTGAAAAATTTGAACGAAAGCAATGGATCACAATAGTAATCAATCTGATGAAGTTTGAAAGGAATCACTTGCAAACTGCTGGTTTAGGATTCATAACCTCATGTACAGACCATTCTCCAATAGTAGGTGAACCACAGTAATATATACACAAGGAAATTCCTTTTAAATGACATAATAAATTGGCTACTGTTTCGATTTTAGTACAAAGGAACTGAGCAGTCCAATTCACACCCATAGCCATAGTTTAAATAAAGTATTGTTTTACTGGGTTGCTGTGAGTTTTCCAGGCAGTATGGCCATGTTCCAGAAGCATTCTCTCCTGACGTTTTACCCACATCTATGGTAGGCATCCTCAGAGGTTGTGAGGTCTGTTTGAAACTAGGCAAGTGGGGTTTATATATCCGTGGAATGCCTAGGGTGGGAGAAAGAACTCTTGTCTGTCTGAGGCAAGTGTGAATGTTGCAGCTGGCCACCTTGATTAGCATTTAATGGCCTTGCAGCTTCAGTTTTAATTTCAGTGTGCATGGCTCTACAAAATAGATTGTATTGTAAAATTATAGTCCAGCTTTCCATCCAATCATGGGTAACTACCTCCTTAAAATAGATTTCCTATAGGTAGTGTCTGTAAAATGTGCAGATTTTCCCATGTGCTGTTCAACATGTGTATAGTTCAGACAATGTCCATACAGGATGCTTACATTTGAAAGCTATAGACAATTCTATAATCTATAATACCTCCACAATTCAGGAAATGGAATCAAAACCATACCCTAAACTGATTTATTGTCATAGTTTATACCATAGACTTATTTCTAGTTGATATATTGAGCCTTATAATATCTGATTCCACCGCAAACTAGGTTTCTTTATTAGTTGGTGGTTTCTTTCATTCTGAAAGCAAGAAAAGGAGAGAACATGGACAAGATGCCGATGAACAATTACCAATGCTGGTTTTTTATTTTAGCAGGTAATTATTTAATGTTTAAAACTCAGTTGTAATGTGCCTTAGTCACTTATTATTTGGCCCTTTTGAAGTGTTTTAGACACACACCTGAGGTGCACATCTGATGAAATGGGTTACACTCAACAAAACCTTGTGGCAAATAGACTTTGTTAGCCTTTAAAGCACCACTAGTTTATTTGTTGTTGTGTTAGTATAGACATGAATATACATTCTTTTTGTGCAATTGCTAAAAGATTATACTGCTGAGCTTTCTTTCATTGTTTCGTCATTGTTTACATGGTTTACGTATTTGCTTTTCCGCTCCCATCCCTGTCGAATTTGAGTTAGCGGTCTATCTAAACAAGGCAGTACTAGGAAAAATTTCATGACCAATACAATGCAAGGGATGATAAGGGAGAGTATATACATGGCAGGAAGACCCCATGGATATGTATAAAGGCGCAAGAATCTTTTCCCACCATAGACCAACGTATGGGCAGTGCATAAGATCAGTGTAAGGTATCCCAGGTAAGACTGTGGAAAGAAAAAAAAAAGAGAGAACAATGTAAGACAAAGTAACATTTTGGGTTGTTGAAGGTTTTTCGGGCTTTATGGCCACATTCTAGAAACATTATCTTCCTTTCTGTTGAAATTGTCCACATGATTGTGGATTTCAGTGGCTCCTCTGTTTAGCCTGGCATGGTAGTTGTTAAGAGTGTTCCAGCATTTCTGTGTTCTTAAATAATATGCTGTGACCAGCTTGGTTCATCAGGTGCTCTGCTATGGCTGCCTTCTCCGATTGGAGTAGTCTGAGGTGCCTTTCTAAGCATTACCTGGATTATTATTTACATTTCTAAGCATGACTATAATAATAACAATAACAATAATAATAATAATAATAATACATCACACAGTCCTAGATGCTTGGGAAGTGCTTGACTTGTGATTTTGTGATACAAAATCCAGCATTATATATCTCGTTTGCTGTGGCATACTGTGTTTTTGTGTCAGTAAAATAATAATAATAATAATTTATTAACACCACCACTACTATTAATATTGTGAAATACGTTTTGAGGCAGGTAAAACAATCAAAGAGCATCCCATTGAGTTCTCAGATTTTGACTTACACCAATGTATTTGTAGTAAGAAGTTATACCACTTTCATGCAGATTTAATTGACATGGTTATATCTTGCATAGAATAGTTTGAGCATCCATTATTTCCATATTCCAAAAAGTGTTCCATATTTCAGATAATGCTGTTTTGAATTTTGAAATACTTGTATATACATAATGAAGTAGCTTGAAGATAGGCCCCTCAGTCTAAGGATACAATCGGTTTATGATTCATATACATCCTACACATAGAGGCTCAAGGTAATTTAATAAGCAATACTGTAATGCTTTTGTACTATCATATTCAATACTGGGTTTTAACTTTGCTTTTGACAGCGTTTCTTAATACCTAAATGTATTTCATGTTCCTATTCCAACATTTGTTCATTTTTTGGTGATGGTCATCAACCATAGTAAAAATAAATAAATATATACTTTTGTGCATGAAGCATTGTTTACATTGAACAATCAGAAAGCAGATGTGTTGCTATCTTAGCTTCCCCATGTGGACTATTTGGTATTTCAGATTTTGGAATTCTACGAACTCATCAGATGGGGCAATTTACTCATTGCATGCTGCTTTCTCTCCCCTTTTGCCATGGAGTCCATTACATGATCCACATCTACTTCTCGCTGGGCTCTGTGGTTGCAATAAGAGCCTAGCCAGAAGAAGATGTGCAATAATGAGTTGCAATAATGACCACTAAAATTGATCAGTTTCAAATTAAGAAAATATGTTGACGATAATTGTGATGAACTATATAGAGCGGCTATAGAGGAATCTATGTAAGAATCAATTGTAGAACATGAGAAGCATAAAGGCAAAAACATTGTTTCCACAATAATATACAATATACGTGTATAGATAGATAGATAGATAGATAGATAGATAGATAGATCGTTTGATTGTTTGAAACTCTTTCAAGGGGTTGGTTTAATCTTTACCTTGCTAGTAAAATTGAATTACCATGTCATGTCTGAAAAGCATGCCACCAATATGAAATGTTTGGAAAGCTCTGCTATATAGGGTGTCCTTTGCAGGGACAGTAGGGGGCTTCCACTAGTCCCATGTGCTACTTGGTGAGCTTTCCTTCTGCTCAAATATGCACAGGAACTACCTTGTGGTGATAAGCTGTTTTTCTAGATAGCAAGCTCTTACCTGGACAAATCGAAACTCTCTCCAGTTGACGCTGTTGCTGACAGAAGGCAAGGATGTGATTCCTAGGAGAACGAACAGAAAGAACCCCAAGATACCCAAAGCAACGTAAGAGTCACTAAGCCAGGCATTCGCTATATTCAGTGGATCTGTTCTGTTGTTATGTGCCTTAAGGTGGGGAAAAACAAATGTAAAATATTTTAATAGGCAGCACCTATAAATAGATTGAAAACAAATGCACTTATTTGCACATATTTCTCACTTTTATTTCAATGAAGTCAAGGTAGAGCCATTGCTCTCTTTCCCTCACCCCACAAAATGTTATCTTCACAACAAATCTTTGAGGTGGATTGGGCTGAGCAAGACTGACTTGGGGCCACTGGCTTACTGTTGCCTAGAAATTGAAGAAATATTTGAGGAAAAAAACCTCCCAAAATTGTGGACACACACGTTGGGAAACACAGATTTCACGTGTCAAGATGGACAGTTTAAAAATAAAAGTTAAGCAGTGTGTGTGTTGTGCCTTCAACCTGCTTTCCTTCCAACCCACCACGTGGTCACAAGGACATTTGGGGGAGAGGACTGTGTGGTGGGTTTGAAGGCGAGCAGGTTGAAGTCCTCCTTGTGGGGAGAAGGGTGGGGTAGAAGTGTATGTAATAAATAATAATAAATAATGACAAGGGAAATAGAGAGTCTTTTCAATGGCTGCTCCCAAATCCATCAGGGACCTAGTTGGCTCCTTCTCTGCTTTTTGGACTTCAACTTCCAGAATTCCTGAATCTTTGCCAATTTGGCTGAAGCTTTTGAGAGTTGACATTCAAAAAACCCAGAGAACCAAAGTTTGGGAACCATTGCTAGATAGCATAAGAATATAAATACGCAATGTTCACAATAAAAAATACAACCACTGGCCACTTCTTTTTTTGTTGTTGTTTAGACATTTTTAGAAGTCTCTGTGCTAAATTGAAGGTCCTGGAACACAACATTACATCCAGATCAGTCGTGGTCACCTTCTTCAGTCTATTAGAACAAAGATTACTACAATCAAGGAACGAATTTGGTAAGAATATCTCAGGATACTTTTGCCAATCTTATAAAATGTGTCTCTCCAAAACCTAACATCCATAGGTAAAGGTTTCCCCTTGACATTAAGTCTAATCGTGTCTGACTCTGGGGTGTGTGGCTCATCTCCATTTCTAAGCCGAAGAGCCGGCGTTGTCTGTAGACACCTCCAAGGTCATGTAGCCAGCATGACTGCATGGAGCACCGTTACCTTCCCGCCTATTTATCTATTCACATTTTGCATGTTTTTGAACTGCTAGGTTGGCAGAAGCTGGGGCTAACAGCTGGAGCTTACCCCCGCTTCCTGGATTTGAACTGACAAACTTTTGGTCAGCAAGTTCAGCAGCTCAGCAGTTTAACTCACTGTGCCACCAGGGGGGCCTGCATAAGCAGCAATATTTTTATTGGGCCAACTCATAGAAACATAGCGTTGGAAGAGACCTCATGAGCCATCCAGTCCAACCCCCTGCCAAGAAGCAGGAAAATCACATTCAAAGCCCCTGACAGATGGCAATCTAGCCTCTGTTTCAGAGCCTCCAAAGAAGTGCCTTCGCCACACTCTGAGGCGGAGTTGAACAGCTCCCACAGTCAGGAAGTTCTTCCTAATATTCAGGTGGAATCTCCTTTCCTGTAGTTTAAAGCCATTGTTCCATGTCCTAGTCTCCAGGGCAACAGACAACAAGTCTGCTTCGTCCTTCCTATGACTTCCCCTCTCATTTTTATACATGGCCATCATGCTTCCTCTCAGCCACAACTCCAAAGTATAGAATACATCATGTAAGCTTCCAAAGCTTGACTAGCTTCTTCGTCAGGCAAATATATTAGAAAATATAGAGGAAAAAATGATGTTAGAGTCACAATCTACATTCTGTCTGAGATATTATCAGTTATTGAGGAATTTCAGTGCAGGTGTATGCCACTACCTTATTAGCCATGTGAGGATTAGAGACAAGGGGCAATAAAAGGCAGATAATACAATTTCAAGTTCAGTAGCAACAGAAAAAGTAACGTTTTTTGAATTCCAGCTGTCCATGTGCTGTGCAAAGTTCCTTTCTAAAGTCAGAGCACATTGCATTTTCAAATAGCCTCTGTTTGAGCATGCAAGGAATCGGTGAATGTGTGTGTGTGAACTGTAGTATAAGATGCATGAAGCTGATTGGTCAGGCAATACCCAGGGAGCAGGCTGAGCCTGGAACTTTTGGATACTGTTACATTTTTGTTCAGCTCAAGCTATGCAAGTGCAGAGAGAGAGACAGTTTGAAGAAATAAGCAGAGAAAGACAGAGTTTGCAGTGTACTCTTGCTTCATGAACTGCTGGAGGAATTTATCCATATGGACAGAGAAAGACCATTTGAAATTTCTCATAAAAGGACATTATGTGAGTTGATCCAACTATTCACATTGTACATATGATGCTCAGAATAACAAAGAGTAAACTACTTGTTCTTTATTGATCATCTGCCTGGCATATTTTCTTCCTCTGGCAAGGCAGGGTGTGGGCTGATCAAACGTGAACCACACATGGTTTATTTTACATTACGCCACAGTCTGCACTGTTACACCTGGAAAAGCTTTAAATGTTGTATAGCTATGATCGTAGTCCAATGAACTTAGCTGTTTACAATGGGATGGTCCCTTACTTAAGGGAAAAATAAAGAGGTGATGGACAGAATAAAAGCATATTGGTTCTTTTCATCCATGCAAGCATCTGTTTTCCTGGTGAAACACAATATTATTTTTTTTAGGATATGATATCTGCTTACCTGGTCAAGGGTATTACTAGCAATCCTCCATCTTACATAATATCGAATAGGGATGACGAGTGTATACAAAACATGTAGGAAGGCATATGCCAGAGCTACCAAGCCAAGTTGTTTTCTACAAAGCATCCACTTGTCCAGCCAGTTTGGGAAACGACTGTATTTGGTGCCTCTGTATAACTGGAGAACAGCAGCAAAGATCCCAAGTAAGTAAACCAAAGCGAGAAGGATGAGTGCCACAACAGGGCAAATCCGATTTGGGATGCTAATGGCAATAAAGAAGGAAAAATCTTTGCCTTTCTCGACAGAATTGTAGACTATGTCACGGATTATGGAGTACACTAAGAAAAATGCACTGAGGCCAAGAGAGAGGATGATGGGGTATTTCCACATTGGAAAAAGCTGCAAAGGGTAATTCTCAATTTCCGTTGCTGCCAAAAGAGAGCCCTTATCCACTGGAGTGAGACCAAGGCTTCGAACAATCTCCATCACTTTGTCTTTTGACTTGTCATCTCCACAGACAAACACCTGCAGTGATAAAACAGAATAAAATGATGAGATCACATTTCTTCTTTATGGCAAGTGTTTGCATTCAGTATCTCTGACTTCAAAAAGAAGCACTACTTGAATTGCCAGAGCTTCAACCTTTTAATCTTTTTTAACAGACCTAGTTCTTTAATCTTTTTTAACAGCCAGTGCTTTTAAAGTGATACAGATTGGCCAGAATATTGGCCAAAATTGGGGTTTTTTGGACTACAACTCTCACTAGCCAATGTCCCAACTTAATAATCCCAACTATTAGTAGACTCATTGAATCAAATATTGAATTGTGAGTCAATCTAATTCAGTATTTTGTAAATATTTGTGATTCGATGACTAATTTATTACCGTAAATACTCAAGTATAAGCTGAGTTTTCCAGCCCCTTTTTAGGCTGAAAAAGCCCCCTTTGGCTTATACTCAAGGGTGTTGAAGTCCAAAACATCCGGAGGGCCCAAGTTTGCCCATGCCTGCTCTACAGCTAGCTTTTTAATTTTGTCCACATAGATTACATTATGACCTCTCATTTGTTCAGGAATTCAAGTTAAGTAAGATGGAAGTTGTAATACCATGTCTGGCAATTCGTGGGCTGTTGGAAAGCTGGTATATGTACTTAAATAGAGCCAGGTAGTATAATTTAGGAATACTTTTATCATATGTTGAACCTTTTGTCCAGAAAGCTGGAGTTAGGAAGAAATGTAGCATTTCAACATGTAATACTCAATGAAAATATTCAAGATGTTTCTCAGCTCAGTAATTGTTTCCTGGCATCAGCTCTGTAACTGTTTTTCTCTGTTGCGACAGCTTCACTGGCTGCCAACATGTTGCAGAGCACAATTCAAAGGGCTGGTTTTAACCTACAAAGCCCTATATGGCTCCAGTCCAGGTTATCTGAAGGACCACATATCTTTCTATGAACCTGGGAGACATCTGTGATCTACTGGGGCGGGCTTTCTCTTGGTCACACCACCCATTCAAGCATGCTTGGTGGGAACACAGGAGAGGGCCTTTTCGTTGGTTGCTCCCAGGCTGTGGATCTCCTTCCCAAGAGAAACCAGAATGGCCCCATCCCTGCTGGCCTTCCGCAAGCAGCTCAAGACCTTCCTCTACCAACAGGCTTTTGGGCAGTGTTTCTCAACCTGGGGGTCGGGACCCCTGGAGGGGTCACATGGGGGTATCAGAGGGGTCACCAAAGACCATCAGAAAAAAGTATTTTTTTGTTGGTCATGGGGTTTCTGTGTGGGAAGTTTGGCCCAATTCTATCGTTGGTAGGGTTCAGAATGCTCTTTGATTGTAGGTGAACTATAAATCTCAGCAACTACAGCTCTGAAATGTCAAGGTCTATTTTCCCTAAATTCCACCAGTGTGAACATTTGGGCATATTGAGTATTTGTGCTAGGTTTGGTACAGAGCTATCATTGTTGAAGTCCATAGTGATCTCTAGATGTAGGTGAACTATAACTCCCAAACTCAGGGTCAATGCTCACCAAACCCTTCCAGTATTTTATGTTGGTCATGGGAGTTCTGTGTGCCAAGTTTGGTTCAATTCCATTGTTGGTGCGGTTCAGAATGCTCTTTGATTGTAGATGAACTATAAATCCTTGCAACTACAACTCTCAAATGACAAAATCAATCCACACCCAACCCTACCAGTATTCAAATTTGGGTGCATTGGGTATTTGTGCCAGATTTCATCCAGTGAATGAAATTACATCCTGCATATCAGATATTTACATTATGATTCATAAGAGTAGTAACATTACAATTATGAAGTAGCAATGAAAATAATTTCATGGTTGGGGGTCACCGCAACATGAAGCACTGTATTAAGGGGTCGCGGCATTAGGAAGGTTGAGAACCACTGCTTTTGGGGAAGAGTAAGGGGAGGCTCAGGGGAGGGTGGGTAGGATTGGGGGATATTTAATGTATTTGCTGTATTTTAATTCTGTTTTTACCACACTGTTATTTTTAATTTTTATTTATTTTTGTATTGCTTTTATAAAAACTGTTTAGTGTGGATAGATGTTAGCCGCCTTGAGTCCCCATAGGGAGAAAGGCAGGATAATAATAATAATAATAATAATAATAATAATAATAATAATAATAATAATTTGTGTACCCAAGAATTTTAACAGGCTCATTTTTGTCCGTGTTGCATTGCAGGTACTTCCTTCTCTGATCTTATCATAACAATGTCTTTAATAAAATGGGACTGTGTTTATTTTAATCAGGTCAAGGATGCTTTACAAATACTTTAATAAGTAATAAATGTCTGAGAATGAAATAGATTTTTTCTTCACTGCAACTTCATTGTTTCTCTTTAAATGCAAGCATCTTTTCTTCTTTGAATTCCTTACCTGTCTGCTTGCATCCAGCCTACCTGACTGCAGAGCCCAAGCTGACACCGTGTTAAATGCTTTCACCACTTTACTATTTGGCATCAACTGGGCAAGATATTCAGCATTGGATTCGGGATACTGGTTTGTTTTGAGGTTGTTGCTCACATCCACCAGTACTTTCCCATGGAGAACTTCTCTTAGGCTTTCAAGAAAGTTGTAGTGTCCTCGGTGCATGGCAATAATGATTACGTTGGCCATTTGTGCTCCTTCTGCATGCGATGAGACTATGGCACCTTCCGGGATCAGTTCAGAGGCTTGAGGATTTCGGCTTCCATATACTATAGAATAGCCGCATTGCATCATCTTGTATCCGAGAGATCTTCCAAAATCTCCTGTGCCAAAAATGCACACTGTCTCCTTCTTATTAAGTAAATCTGAAGTAAGTGGAACCATTGTGTTGTTTTTCTCCATGGTGGGCAGGTTTCCTGTTGCCTGCTAAGACACAAAACAATGCAAAGTTTATGTAAATATTTGCTAGGAACAAAACAGCTTGGTCTAAGTCATCTATCTCTAATTTTTCATATTTGTCAAATAAGTAGAAATACACACACATTCAACTTCCAACAAATGAAGAATAGAGTAACTAGAGCAGATCTATAAGTAAAACATTCATTCCACATTTCTCAGCATAGTCTTTGGATTCAAAAAACAAAAACAAAAACAAAAAAGAGATAATGCTTAAACCTCTTTAACATAAGAACCATCAAATCATGGAATAGCATGCCTCAGAGGGTGGTGGACTCTCCATCTTTGAAGGTTTTTGAACAGACATTGGATGGGCATTTTTCAGACAAGCTTCAGTTGTGTATTCTTGCGTGGAAGGAGGGTTTGACTAGATTTCCCTTATGATCCCTTCTGACTCTAAGATTCTGTGGTTCTGTGAACTCATTGAGACTTAACATCAAAGATAAAATGTTTGAGACTGTACTGTGAGATAGTACTTGTTGAACTGCATGATGTGGTGGACAGTAACCTCCATCCCAATGTTTCAGGGACCAGTACCATGCTCTGTTATTTCAACATTCATAGGCTGGATCCTATTGTTAGTTCTAACTAGAGTAGACCCACTCAATCAGTCCAATTCACCAATATTTTGACTCGTCATTCAACAATCATTTGACTAAGTCTACATCAATTTCAGATTTTCTCTGTCAGCTCCAGCTCCCCATGGGGGGACATGAAGCCTCCCACAAAGATGGTCAAACATCAAACATCCGGGTGTTCCCTGGGCAGAGTCCTTGCAGACAGCCAATTCTCTCACACCAGAAGTGACTTGCAACTTCTCAAAACATTCCTGACATGAAAAAAAATGGATTTTGAATTTCCAGATAAGGGATACTCAGCCTGTATTGTGTTTTCTTGGCACTCAGAGTGCCTTGCAGCATTCACACACCCCTTTTTGACTTTGACGTCACATTTTATTGTGTTATAACTAGAATGGGTTTAATTGGCATTGCCACCGCCTGCTGTATACAAGAAAGTACTTTTTTTTTTACTTCGACTCTGTATTTTATTGTGTTATAATCTGGAAAGGAAATGGGTTTAATTATCATCACCATCACCTGTTATATACAAACAAATACAAGACAATAATGATTCGAGTTCATCGAGCCGTGGCACTTCTAAAGGTGCTAAACTGCATTAATTCTACAGTGTAGATGCAGCCTAGGCTGCCAATCCCAGGATTTCATGGATCAAAATGACAGCAGTTAAAGCAGACTACTACTGATATAATTTTGTAGCATGAATGGGTTCCTGGATTTGTAAAAGCAGTGAGCTGAAACCTGAATATGAAAGGTTAACCTATGTCTTACTGAGCCAGAAGATTCCAAAAATATATGGTATAAGTGCAATGTCAAAAGGTTTTATGATTATGTTGATCGTTTTTAATGGTTTAATTTATAATTATGTGTTGTTTGCTTTAGATATGTGATACATTGTTTTTATTGTTTGTGAGGCATTGAACCTTTGACATTTATTTGATGTGAAACACTTTGAGTCTCTCCAGAGGTGAGAAAAGCGGTATATAAATGCAGTAAATAAATAAATAAGAGGCAGCATGGAGTAGTAATTTGGGTATTGGACTGTGACAATGGAGACCAGGGTTTGAATTCCTGCTCGTGAAACTCACTATATGACTTTGGACAAGTCACTCTCTTTCATCCTTAGAGGAAAGCAATTGCAAACCTTTTCTGAACAAAACATGCCAAAAAAACCCCATGATAAATTCACCATAGGTTGGAAACCACTCGAAGGCACACAACAACAACAACAACAACAACAACAGCAGCAGCAGCAGCAGCAGCAACAACATCTCTGATTGCATCTCCCCCTATGAACCAGGACGGATGTTAAGATCTTCTGGGGAAGGCCCTCCTCTCGGTCCCACCTTCTTTGCAGGTGCAGCTGGTGGGGACGAGAGACAGGGCCTTCTCAGTGGTGGCTCCTCGACTGTGGAACTCTCTTCCTAGTGATATGAGATCAGCCTCCCCCCCCCCCCTCCTGGCATTTTGAAAAGAAGTAAAATCCTGGCTTTGGAATCAGGCATTCAGAGATTAGCTACAATGCAATAGACAGCTGGGAATCAGTGTGACTGTATCTGCAATAGCTCATAGAATCTGATTACGGACTATGTGGCTGTTTTAATTACTGTTTTAAATCCTGTTTTAACTGTATTTGTATGTGATTGTTTTATGTTTAATAATTTAATCTATATAAATAAAAATGTAATGTTCATTTGTGGGATTAACATAACTCAAAAACCACTGGACGAATTGACACCAAATTTGGACACAAAACACCTATTAGGCCAACGAGTGACCATCACTCATAAAAACACAGAAAAACACAGCAGAAGAGTCTTTAAAAGTCAAAAATTAAAAAATACATACATATATATGGTTTTGTGCATGCATTGTAAACACTAGCCATCCACTGCCACGTGTTGCTGTGGCCCAGTCTATGTGTTTTGTGTGTATATATGTGTGTATATGTGGATCTATGTATGTTTGTGTGTATATATACATGCAAACACACATATATACACATATACACACATATATATACACATAAAACACATATACACAGACTTGGCCACAGCAACACGTGGCAGTGAATGGCTAGTGTTTAATATATTTATATTATGTTATGTTTATGTTTCAATGTGGCATCAAATTGTGCCAAGCTGTAAGCTGCTCTGAGTCCCCGCTTGGGGTGAGATAGGGTGGGATAGAAATATGGTAAATAAATACATAAATAAACAGACAAGAAGTTAGCCCTTTGTATATAAAGGCTGGAGACCCTCTTTAGTAGCTGTTCTACACACTTCTGCTTGGCCCTCTGCCTACTCCGATTTCATTGTTATGCTTTGTTTCTTCAAAATGTCACCCTTGCCGAGACAAGTTAATATTTGACAGACTACACTCAATAAATCCTTTCCTTCTTTCCAATACAGCGCATATAATTCTACGAAATGAATGTCAGATTTCCCAAAGGACACTGTTTATTAGGTGGGTTCAGCAACTTCACTATTTGAGTTCATTCTCTCTCCGGCACACAAGGCTCGAGCAGCAGACTTCTGTCATGTTAGGAAAACCTTGTGATGATTTTGGTGATCTCTCAGGAGATTCAGGTAGAATCAATTCTCTAGCTCCCTTTTGTAGGTTTTGAGGTTCAAAAGAAGAGAGATGACAAGTTCCTCTGAATATAATGTCAGTTTCTGTGCCCTTGTGGGCCTCACTGAAACCTCTGTGTAGATTTTTGTTTTTTGAAGGATTATATCTATGTGGAGCTCCACTTTTGTGAATCACATTGACACGGGCTTGTGGTTTTTATGGAAGCTCAGGGAACTTCTTATTTCCTGGTATCTGGGCTCATTATAACTATACCTCTACTTCAGTAGACTATGCTCCTTTTCTCCCTGAAGACAAAAAAAAAAGTACATGCAAAGACATAAAGCAAATAGATATTCCCCGCTGCTTTCTAAGATGTGGCAGAAATAAAGAGATACTGGGGTTTTTTTTGTTCTGTAAAAACACAGCAGAAATAAGCAGCTGTATTTTATAGTTCTGATCCATAGCAGGACTTTATGCAAATTGTTCTCTCTAAAAGCTTGCAAATTAAACTTGGTGTTTTGCACAAAGCTTGCAGTTCCCTCCTAAAAGCATCTAATAGGCACTAAATGTTGCACACCAAGGGAAAGATTGAAACACACAGCTTGAAAATGTTACTATTAAGGATGAAATCTTCCAGACCGCGTGGCTGATAGCCATACTGACGCAGGTATCTGAGAACGGTTGTCCAAGAAAATAACATTTCCAGGCTTTGCAAAAGTGGGAGATGATTATCCAATTCCTTCTATCTGGTGCTCATTTCATAGGATCATAGTTGGAAGAGACCTCATGGGCCATCTAGTCCAATCACCTGCCAAGAAGCAGGAACATCGCATTCAAAGCACCCCCGACAGATGGCCATTCAGCCTTTGCTGAAAAGCCTCCAAAGAAGGAGCCTCCACCACTCTCTGGGGCAGAGAGTTCCACTGTTGCATGTTTACTATACAAATACAATAGACTTTTTTTTTACTTTGACACTGCCAAAAAAAAATCCATATTATCTGATTTGAACAGGATTATATGGCAGTGTAGACTCATATAATCTGGTTCAAAGCAGATAATGTGGATTATCTGCTTTGATAATCTATATTGTAAGGAAGTGTAGAGGGGGCCTCAGTTGACGGGAACTCAAGCAACTGGCAATAAATAAATAAAATCGAAGCGATACTACTGTATTCACAATGCTGTTTTTACAATAAAGGAAAACTACATTACATTAAGTTTTGTCTTTATTTGCTTTTAATTACTGTACTTCAACATTAATATAAAATCGCTACAGAGGTTGCTGTGAGTTTTTCGGGCTGTATGGCCATGTTCCAGAAGCATTCTCTCCTGATGTTTCACCCACATCTATGGCAGGCATCCTCAGAGGTTGTGAGACCTCAGACACCTTTCAATTGCTTGTCACATTATAAGACTCCATTCATTATATATTGTTTTTTTGGGACAAGGAACTCTTAGAAGTGGTTTGGCCAGTTCATTTCTCTGAAATAAAGCCTAGAAAACCTTGTATCAATAGATGGTCTCCCATTCTGGTACCAACCAGGGCTGACCCTGCTTAGCTTCCAAGATCAAAGCTCTTTAGGATATTGTCTTCCACTTGAAATGCAATAATAACATAGTATGAATCTTGGGATTTGTAGTTTGGTGAGGGACAAGTTCTCTCTGGCTAAGAATTCTAAATGCCCAGCACCATGACTCCAATAAACATGATCCATATATATGCACTTCATTCAATCCTTGCTGAAATAAAGGAATGAAGAGTCAAAACATCTCCCTAGTTGACAGTAACTTGTTGAAACAAGTAAATCAACCTTCCAGATC